TTTACCGTATGAAATTTGTACGGAACATTCTGCAAACACAGTAAAGAAATCAAGAAAGTTTTTAACAAATAATGATGACTTGTTTTCCATAGAATAAAGCCGCCACGGAATCGTCCATCTCTCTCGCACTCATTGATCAGATGCATATGTTGCAACATTCCGTGGCTCGTCAAAGGGACACCTGGCGCACACACACGCTCGCAAAAATACAGGCTGGGCCTCGTAATTTGGTCCGCGGTGGTAGTGCGCTGGGGAATTCCGTTGCCAGCAAAAGCACCGAAGTGCTTTTCGAGCGTGAGCCCGGGAAAGAACGGCCGTAAACGGGGAGCAGGGCTCATCTTGGATAGGTCAATACGCTGTTTTGTCGTCTCCCTCTCTCGCACTCATTGGGCAGATGCGGCACGTCAAAGGAGACCACTCGGCTTTGCCAAGCCGCCTCGGAATCGTCCATCTCTCTCGCACTCATTGATCAGATGCAACATTCCGCGGCTCGTCAAAAGGACACCTGGCACACACACACGCTCGCAAAAATACAGGCTGGGCCTCGTAATTTGGTCCGCGGTGGGAGTGCGCTGGGGAATTCCGTTGCCAGCAAAAGCACCGAAGTGCTTTTCGAGCGTGAGCCCGGGAAAGAACGGCCGTAAACGGGGAGCAGGGCTCATCTTGGATTGGTCGATACGCTGTTTTGTCGTCTCTCTCTCTCGCACTCATTGGGCAGATGCGGCACGTCAAAGGAGACCACTCGGCTTTGCCAAGCCGCCTCGGAATCGTCCATCTCTCTCGCACTCATTGATCAGATGCAACATTCCGCGGCTCGTCATAGGGACACCTGGCGCACACACACGCTCGCAAAAATACAGGCTGGGCCTCGTAATTTGGTCCGCGGTGGGAGTGCGCTGGGGAATTCCGTTACCGGCAAAAGCACCCAAGAGCTTTCCGAGCGTGAGCCCGGGAAAGAACGGTCGTAAACGGGGAGCAGGGCTCATCTTGGATTGGTCGATACGCTGTTTTGTCGTCTCTCTCTCGCACTCATTGGGCAGATGCGGCACGTCAAAGGAGACCACTCGGCTTTGCCAAGCCGCCTCGGAATCGTCCATCTCTCTCGCACTCATTGATCAGATGCAACATTCCGCGGCTCCTCAAAGGGACACCTGGCACACACACACGCTCGCAAAAATACAGGCTGGGCCTCGTAATTTGGTCCGCGGTGGTAGTGCGCTGGGGATCTGTTGCCGGCAAAAGCACCCAAGTGCTTTCCGAGCGTGAGCCCGGGAAAGAACGGCCGTAAACGGGGAGCAGGGCTCATCTTGGATTGGTCGATACGCTGTTTTGTCGTCTCTCTCTCTCTCGCACTCATTGGGCAGATGCGGCACGTCAAAGGAGACCACTCGGCTTTGCCAAGCCGCCTCGGAATCGTTCATCTCTCTCGCACTCATTGAATAGATGCAACATTCCGCGGCTCGTCAAAGGGACACCTGGCACACACACACACGCTCGCAAAAATACAGGCTGGGCCTCGTAATTTGGTCCGCGGTGGTAGTGCGCTGGGGATCTGTTGCCGGCAAAAGCACCCAAGTGCTTTCCGAGCGTGAGCCCGGGAAAGAACGGCCGTAAACGGGGAGCAGGGCTCATCTTGGATTGGTCGATACGCTGTTTTGTCGTCTCTCTCTCTCGCACTCATTGGGCAGATGCGGCACGTCAAAGGAGACCACTCGGCTTTGCCAAGCCGCCTCGGAATCGTCCATCTCTCTCGCACTCATTGATCAGATGCAACATTCCGCGGCTCGTCAAAGGGACACCTGGCACACACACACGCTCGCAAAAATACAGGCTGGGCCTCGTAATTTGGTCCGCGGTGGTAGTGCGCTGGGGAATTCCGTTGCCGGCAAAAGCACCAAAGTGCTTTCCGAGCGTGAGCCCGGGAAAGAACGGTCGTAAACGGGGAGCAGGGCTCATCTTGGATTGGTCGATACGCTGTTTTGTCGTCTCTCTCTCTCGCACTTATTGGGCAGATGCGGCACGTCAAAGAAGACCACTCGGCTTTGCCAAGCCGCCTCGGAATCGTCCATCTCTCTCGCACTCATTGAATAGATGCAACATTCCGCGGCTCGTCAAAGGGACACCTGGCGCACACACACGCTCGCAAAAATACAGGCTGGGCCTCGTAATTTGGTCCGCGGTGGTAGTGCGCTGGGGAATTCCGTTGCCGGTGTGGCGGCCAATCACCGCTCACCTCTGGCGACGCAGCCCATGCTCGCCCCTGATTGGCCGCCGCAGTCTCAACCATGACTATATATATGTCGTGACCTCACCACCTCAAGACACTCCGCTCCCGTCAGCCACACGGGCCACATCACTCATCTAGCGGACATCTCGCAGCCGGCCGGCTTGCCCTTTTCAACGGCTCTTCTTAGAGCCACCAACACTAGAGCACCACATTTGGTCTTTGGCCATACCGGCAAAAGCACCCAAGTGCTTTCCGAGCGTGAGCCCGGGAAAGAACGGCCGTAAACGGGGAGCAGGGCTCATCTTGGATTGGTCGATACGCTGTTTTGTCGTCTCTCTCTCTCGCACTCATAGGGCAGATGCGGCACGTCAAAGGCGACCACTCGGCTTTGCCAAGCCGCCTCGGAATCGTCCATCTCTCTCGCACTCATTGATCAGATGCAACATTCCGCGGCTCGTCAAAGGGACACCTGGCGCACACGCACACTCGCATGTATCTCTGTTTGCGACGTTGCAGACCTCCTGTCATAGGTACTTCATTTTGTATTTAGAAAATGGGTCGACGTAATATCCTGAAAACTGCTTTGCTTTTGCTGCTCTGTTGGTAGAATTTTGTGTATCAATTGCGAGCTATTAAGTAGGCTTGTTTCTCTTGGAGAAACTGAAGTAGGAGCGGACATTTTGAAACACCGCAATGAATTTACGTTGTTTTGCACTTTAGTTATCGATAAGAAAAGAATGTACAGAACCGCATAATGCGTGGTTAAAAAAAAGAAAAAACAATAATAGGATTCGTAACACGAAAGTTACAGAAAAAAGTTTTAAAGCCGTTCAACGCTGATGAGATTCGCCTTCAAATTCGACCCATGGGCAAAAAAACATACCAGGAAGCACGAAGTTACATGTTCAAAGAACACACGATTATACCTCACCAGTCACATCGCTGTTAACTTTTTTTCCCTTCTTTTTTTTTTTGTCTCTCATTCTCTTGAATTCAACATTTCACTCTAAGCGAATAAAGGGACGGAAAGTACTTATGTCCTCAGCACGTATACTTAAAATACCGTACGCGACTTTCTAGATTTTTAAGATTTTTCTTAAGTCCTTCTTTAGGCCCTTTTTTTAGCTTTAGTAGGGTGTTCTCCAAACCCTCCCTCACGGAGGCCCTAAATTGATCTCGCACCTGGTATATGAGAATTAATATCCGGCCCTGGACCAGAGGTGCAAAATTTCATGAATCCTTATAAAATGAAATTTCATTGAATTTGTTGAAACTTCTAACGTGGACTCAGTAAGCTACGCATCGCATAGAAATAATAAAAGTTTAATTATGAAATTTTGGGGATCAAAAAACTCAGCCATATTATACATTTTCCGAGCAAGTTTTCAAATAAATATCATGAGTGGTCTATGCAGCCCCTGAAAAATCGTTGAAATTCAAGGAAAATTAAATTTCTGTGAACATTTTATGTAAAGAAATGCATGCAGTTCTTTCCGTGAAATATAATATTGCATCTCTGCACTGTGCGCAATTCTCGGTCGCGAACTGTGCTTGAGGCGCCCACCGATTGAGTACAGAAGAGAATTTCATGAGCCGCCGCCCGCGGCGCACTATGGTACAAAACTCAAGAATAGGAAGAAATAAGTCGGATAATGATTGAAAGATCCCGAAAGTTTCATAACGGATGTTTTTGGAGTCGCTATTTTTGAATTCTATGTAAAATTGTCTACATTCTAACACCCTGACCTTTTAATTGTGAGCAAGTTTATGGCACGCTATGGCGCGGCGTGCTGTAAGCTCGAAACGCGCACTGACGCCTACAAACCTAAGGGAATACTTCAAGCATTGCGCAATGCGTGAGGTAGCCCCTTACAAACCTAAGGAGATACTTCAAGCATTGCGCAATGCGTTAGGTAGCCCCTTAGGTTTGTAGGCGTCAGTGCGTGTCTCGTGCTAACAGCACGCCGGCGCAGGGCGGCTCATTAAATTCTCCCATGGTGCTCTGTCGGGCGCCCACCGCTCTGAAAATATTTAAAATGCCCGCTCTTGGGCAGAGCAGGGTGTTGAATGATGCCACTGTCGGTGGTGATCGTTGAAGTTCGACCGCTAATGCAACACCAACTAACTGACGTTTCTCTCAATACATAGAGAAAAAAAAGGAGGTGTTTGCATCTTGAGGATTTGTACCCACCTACGTCATCAATGTAAACAAGACGCTCGTTGAGGGTTATGTTGACGCTGTAAAAACGGACCATAATGTCCGATTTTTTTACTTAAATCAACTCTTTATATAATTTCAAGCACTTTTTATAGAATGACTTTTTCCCTTAAATTACACCATTTCCAAAAAAATCGACAGGATAAAAACGTCGCTGTACCCAATGACGNCTGACCTTTTAATTGTGAGCAAGTTTATGGCACGCTGTAGCGCGGCGTGCTGTAAGCTCGAAACGCGCACTGGCGCCTACAAACCTAAGGGGATACTTCAAGCATTGCGCAATGCGTGAGGTAGCCCCTTACAAACCTAAGGAGATACTTCAAGCATTGCGCAATGCGTTAGGTAGCCCCTTAGGTTTGTAGGCGTCAGTGCTTGTCTCGCGCTGACAGCACGCCGGCGCAGCTGCAGGGCGGCTCATTAAATTCTCCCCTGGTGCTCTGTCGGGCGCCCACCGCTCTGAAAATATTTAAAATTCCCGCTCTTGGGCAGAGCAGGGTGTTGAATGATGCCACTGTCGGTGGTGATCGTTGAAATTCGGCCGCTAATGACGTTTCTCCCAATAATAATAATCCACTAGATAACGAAATTGATAAATTTTTAGAAGTGTCTGTCAGTGCTTAGTGCTCAATTTACTCAAGATTTTGATAGTTTATTAGACATGGCAACTTTACTGGATAATTATGAACAGCAGTATGCAGTTTTAACAGCTGAAATTACCTGCAAGATCGGCAAACTCACGAAGTCAGATGAAAGTAAGTTCTCCTTTGACGACTTCTCTTATCACTGTAAATTGATAACATATTTTCCGTATATTCACGACGGAAAATTGCATCCGATGGCTTTTTTTCTCTGAAAACGTCTTCAGAAAGAACTGTCACACTTCGGTCAACTGTTAATCAGTTTTTTTCTACCTCATGCCTTCTTTCAATGCTGTTTCACCTGGTGTTGCCTCTCTTCCGCCCATTCACTTATGTTCAGCCAAGGATATCTGAACTTCCCTGCATAGTTTATTTGATTATTTTCAGTAAAAAGATCCCTCTAGACCCATTCACTACTTTAAAATTCCTAATAGGTTTATCCATCAGCCATTAATGGGCCATAATTTCATCAATTATCTATTAATCCTTCGGTGCAATGAAGGTTTGTTCGCACAGCGCTACCATGTTATTGATCAGTCTCATAGTTCCACTGTGGCATCAGAGTGAAGTAGCGGCAAAGGATTGCATGAATCTAGCCGGAGAATGCACAGACATTATAGACATGCACACCGGGGAACACTGAGGCAGCCCTTAAGTATGTGAAGGCTGTCTTAAAAAATGTGAACGCATAGATTTTTCTGCACCCTTGATGGATTCTAAGCAGGTATTTCCTGAATGAAGTTTGCAAGAGAATGGAGAAGTACTTTGTTATTTCTCTTTGAACAGTGAATTACGCTAGTCACTGTTAACTAGTCAATGTAGAGTGCATTTTCATTTATTACCTACATTGTATCGACTAAGCACTGTAATTTTTTTTGTCTGTTTCAGCTGAAAAAAAGAATATAATTTCAGAACTGGAAAAATCCTTTGAGGAGGCAAATGAATTGGTAGGTTGAAACATAAAAGTTGTTTCACAAGTACACTCCATTCATCGCTATCTGTCAGAGTTTAATTCTGCACATAAATGCACCGGAATGAAGTTTAGACTTGTAGTCATAAAATTGACAGTATAGGTTCATAGTGACCTTTAAGTAGACGCTGTTGATTCATCCTCATTATGTTTGTTCTTTGCCACTCATATACTCCACTAAGTATAATGACTATGCTGTAAGCTTTGAATTTTATCTTTCTGAAAAACTCTCACAGAGCTATGCGAGTTCTACCAGCAGTTCTCAATCATCTTCTTTAATTAGCAGCTAGCCTGGTCCACTCAAGCTACCTCATACTTTTTTGACTCTTCACATTCCTTTTCTAAGGTCTTTAAAATCATTCTATATCTACAAAGTGAAAATTTTCATTGCTTGTTGCTCAGTAATAAATTTTCTAAAAGGAAGGCTTACGATCAAAATTTTTCTCAGAGGAGAGAATTCAAAGGTTAAAATCTATAAAATATGTCTGTGAGGGGGAAATTGTGGGTGAAAGGGGAGAGAAGTCCATACCTCCTGCAGGGCGATTATTGAAATGACGTCAACTCTATGACGCCACTTTGTCATGTTGCGCTCAGTTGATGGCGCGACATGACAAAGCGGCGACAAAGAGTTGATGTCATTTCAATAATTGCCCTGCTGGTTCCATAACTGATCAGTTTTATACCAAGGCGGATAAAGAATGGTGGTCGCATTTCGATTTTGGCTGCCATCTTGAAGCACTGTGACGTCAGGAGGGTACGGCTTTTGCCATGCAATTCGAGGTTGAGCCGACTCCCCCGGCTTCGGCCGGCCCATGTACCCGATACCGTGTGACGTCTAGAGGGTACGAAATGCGACCACCATTCTTTATCTGCCTTGGTTTTATACCTATTTTACTCTTTAAGTTCAAAGTAACACTGTCATCTTGTATTGAAAGATAAAACTGTATGTTTTTTTCTTCCCTTTAATTCCAGATGGAGCAGATGGAGTTGGAGATCCGGGAAATTGATCCTAGTTTTAGGCCAAGATTGAAAACACGGGTTGACAGTTATAAAGCTGAACTATCCAGATTGCTGCAAGATTTCAACTCAGCCAAAAGTAGTCAATTCAAATCAGATGGTAATTTACCAGAATTTATTAAATACACTCTTTCTAGTTTTTCTCGAAAGAAGTATTCTGGATGAAAAAGTCAGCTAATATTTTAAAGTATTCAAAAAGTTTGACTTTCAATGCAATATGAAGAACAAATTTTAAATTTAGAGAGCAGCTTTCAAATGAGACTCCTTTCTGAATTGAAGACGAAATGAAATCTTTAGACTAAGTAAAAAAGTTCAAGAGAATTCATGAGATACTCAGATTTATTTCTTTCAAGTAGGAAGTAAGACATGTAAAAATACTGAGTTGAACTTACGTTTTTTTAGGGTAAGTAATACTTGTTAAAAAAATGTGAAACCTTAAAATTTTTATGTGAAATATGTATCATGTACTAATCTTGAATTCTAAATCATTTCGATGTTGCCAATGCTCTTGTTCTTAAAAAATGATTTTTTTTAATTTAACTGATTATTTGTAAGTGAAGATACTTTGATACACAAATTACTGAACAGTAGTGCAATTTTCCTCATGTTTTTTTCATATTTCCTATGAAATTCTGCCTGCATAATCAATGGATGTTTTTTTTTTTTCTGTTTAGGTTTTTACAATCAAACTGACAGTTACAAAGAATTGGGAAATATTAGTCTGGAACAGAAACAGCGACTTCTTGATACGTCTGAAATAATCGAACGGACCGGAAATCATCTTGCCAATGGTTACAGGATTGTTTTGGAGACTGAAGAAATAGGAAATGAAGTTCTGCAAAATTTGAATAGTCAAAGAGAGACCATTCAGAAGTCACGGAGCAGAGTATGTATGCCGAAATGTTATTTTATCTTATAGCCTTATGGCCTATCATTTATCTATAAATAATGCATGTAAAGAATTGTGAGGCTGTGATAGTAGGTACCTCAATGTAAATCTATTTTTGAAGAAATTTAAGTAATGAGTCTAAAATACTTTGAAATAATACCGTCATGAAAGTCATTTAAATCTTGCTGAAATCTAGACAATTCTTTAGCAAACAAGTCAAAACAAGGAGGATAATTTTTCCACGAATAAAATTACGGATAATGATAAATTTTCAAACTACATTTAGGCAATTCACAGTTTTTTATCAATCTAATTTTGCAGGTTCTTAATTGTTTTCCTGTGCTACAGTTCATTTTACATTAATTTTTCTTCTCTCCATTATTAATAATGTATTGCTGACCTTAGTCATTGACCTGTCAGTTTTACTGCTTGCTAGGAATGATTCTTCTTCGAAGGTTAAACAATGAAAAACAAATTGATTAATTTCCTAGATTGAATCATATCCTCCTCCTTTTAAAAGCACTTCTAGATGTACAGTGTATCTATCTCATTCCAGTCTCTAGAGTCCCTCTCTCAATCATTCTCCAAATTAAAACTGAGAGATAATGGAAAGAACAACAGAAATATTTTGAAAAAATTAAGATAATAAAATGTTGAACTTAATGCTGTTTTGTGAAAGTCATCAGTAATGAACCACGCCATAAAATAAATAGACTACGTCAACAGAAGCGAAAGCTCCGTAAGAACCAATGTTAACATTTTTCTCCTCTGAGTCGGTCCTTATTGAAACCAACTTCGAGGTTACCTACAAATATAAAAGTGGAAAAAAACATTAAATTTTAAGCGAACTTACAGTACTTCTTCGGTATAACGATAAATAAGTTAAAAGAAAACTCTTTCAATTCCGTAAAACGTATGTATCCGTTATTATTCGATCTCTCCAAAACGTCGACCTACCGCAAACGTAAACAGTACTTATTGAAACAGCCTCCTTTCGTTATGCTTCATTGACATGAAAATGGCGGTGGCTTTCGCTTCTGTTGACGTTCGTCTCTTTATTCTATGAACACGCAATGCCAGTGGATTTGATATTGTGTCCACCGCACCGTGCGTGGGTGGTGAGTCTGACACCGAGGAATTACAACGATCAAGGCGCGCAATGCTTGAAGTATTCCTGCAGCCTTACAGGCGCTAAAATGCATTTCAGGGCAACTGACCGACTGCCTTGTATTTGGCACAATGCCAGAATTATTTTTACAGTCTCGCAGGCGCTAATATGCGTTTAGCGCCGGTTGCATTGTGTTTGGCGCGATTATTCAAACTCACGTGAAAAGAATCGTGGCATCGAATAATGAAACAGCCTGTCCCACCAATAATCGATGTATTCAGTTGGTTTAAATGGAGTATTGACAGAGTTGCCACCTTGCGGGAATTACCATTGGAGCTGTCCCTAGATACTAGCGATATGTCAGAGTTAGGGACAACAAACCGAACTCGCAAAGGTTTATACTTCGTGACATCTTGTCATCTTATGGATTGACTAAATTTTATATATGTACAAGTTGAGGTTTGAATTTTGCTTACTTGCACTCTAGACTTGATCTTTACTTGATGCTCATTTTTGTATTTTCACCTAGAGTTGCTTTGATTCCTCATTGTAATCACGTAACCTTAACAACCTGCTTCAGCTTTTTATTTAAGTGGTTCTTTTTACTCATTTGTTTGTTATACTTATTCCACTGTTGATGGCATTGGTTTTGGTCAGTTCCTGCAGCTGCAGAGATTTAAATACAGGCCACAAGGCTTCAGAAAGATTTTTAGCAATGTTCCAACTATTTATTTCATATAATCAATTTTTCATGAGTTTGCTTTCCCGATACTTGAAGCGATAATGCTCGTCAGATTACTCATACAGATCATTAAAGTTGTCCTCATGTTTGTCAATGATTTACATGATAACTTTGGTTTCGTTTTTCAGTTGCGCGAGACAAATGCCAACCTCAACCGGAGCTCCAGAATAATGAATGCCATGATAGCTCGATCTCTACAACACAGATTTATTCTCCTTGGGGTGGGAACGATTTTCTTTTTGACCTGTCTTTATGGAGTGTACAGAATCTTCACTAGGATTTTTTAATCCTGCCTCTTCCTTCGTGCAAATTTCCAATTTATAGGCAATTCCAAAGAACAATTTGTGTATTAGGATGGAGATGAATGATTTCTCAGTGAAACCAATTCGTACCTGTCCTTGATTGTGGTTCTATCTAACATTTAGTTTCTATCATTCCGAATTAGGATCCTAGGGGTACATCGCCAATTCAAACTGTCATATCTCTGTGTAGTATTTCAGTTATTGAATGGATTAAAATATTCCAATGTACATCAGCATCTCCTTGTTGATTTACAGAAAACTACACTATCTGCTGGCAATTTTTGTATTAGAAAAATTCCAATCATTTCATTTGCAATTGATCCTCATTTTCTAAAAAAAATTTGGTCCCTTGAATGATAGCCGAGAATGATTTCTAGTGATGCTTATTGTCTCTTAAAAACTCGTTTTTACATTTCAAGCACCTATGAAATTTGAAAAATAATTGTTCAATCTTAGAAACCTGTCTTAGTTACCGTTACTGACCTGTTCAACTACTAAAAGAAATTTAGAATGAAGGAGTTTTCTCATTCCCAAAAAAATCGAAACTAAGCTGAAATCTGATAATTTTATTTGGATAACATTTTGCAAAGATGAACCACTATCTTTGACTCTCCCATTAAAGCAAATATCTGCATATGGAAACCAATCGCATTTATGTTGTTTCTAAAATGGGCCAGAAATAGTGGTTCCTCATCGCAAAATGTAATCCATTTGTCACCCTTATTCCTGCGGTAAATCCACGCAATCCCAGTTTTATTTTCTTTCATTTATTGTCTTCTGAAAGGTACCTGATACAGTCACTTAAAGCTTTCAACACTATGCAGCGTCTGAATTTCTAATAAAGTATTTAAGTGTGTAGTTATTTTAAAGTGAAGCTTGCAGCTCCTATCATGTCCCAGAAAATGATGGATAAAATTTTTGAGGAAATTGAGGCGTTAATCCTGTCGATAAGTTTTAGAAGGCTCTTTTTGTTTGCCTCTGTGAAAACATACATTAATTCTTACTTTACTTGAAGCAATTATCTCTGTGCCATAAGATAAAAACGATTTTTAACCTTTCTCAAAAGAGATACTTCCTCCAGGTTATGAAAGTAACTATCACCTTTACTACCGAATCCTTCATTAATATGATTGATCGATTCAAATTTAATTTTTTTATCATTGAAAAATGAGTGCACTTGATTGTACGGCTACATCACAACCCTGCTTACACATTAATCGAAAAGCGTTATTTTGTTGTCTCATTTCATCTCAGTATTTCTTTTTTTTTAAATGCAATTCATGCATACTGGTCTCACTGTAGGAGACCTTGACTTTGTTTTGATTTATGTCCTCCCCCCTTTTAATTAGATTGATCTTAGATACTGTACAGTTGAATGTGTAAATATTAGATCTTGGTGATTTATTTATTGTATCTGGCTGTCCTCAAATTCATCATTGTTGAATAAATCTGTTATTTTAAGATATCTCACTTTAGTTCTTTTTACTTCTGTCACTTTTTTCAGCTGAACAGAACTTCCAGAAAGTTCAGAGGCAGCCAATGAAACATTTCTTCAGACCTCACAAAATATTAAACATAAAAAGACAATGTGCATACAAGAGAAAGAAAAAATTCAGTAGAATAGAATTTGGTAGAATGATGAAGCGTTATTCCATGTATATATGTATCTGCAAACTTTCAATCTCCGTTTGTGACGTTGCAAACTTCCTGCCATATTTTATTTTAACTTTGAAAACTAGACAACACAGTTTCTTGAAAATCCCCTTGATTTTTCTTCTCTGATAGTGCAATATTTTTCATTAATTTTTTCCTCAAAAAATAAAATAGGAGCAGAAATTTTGAAACATCGCAATGGAGATACATGGTTTGGCTCTTTGCTCATTGATGTACCCATTTACTGAATGCCATAGTTGTGCAAAATGCCAACTAGTGTTCAAAAGACTAGGATGAAATAGACTGTGCTAAACAGAAGAAAACCAAGTGGCAATTTGGGGAGAACATTGAGTGCCATGTCGTTTTACACTTAATTGGTCACAAAATTTTGTCTATGAAAAATTCAAATTCTAGAAAAACTATGTAGGATATGAAAACCGACATTGAACTTCTTTTCAAACGTTGAGCCTCAAGAGGAAATAGGACTTCATACCTTTTTTGAGTTCCGTCTTGATGTGATTCGATGATTATTCTGTCTTGGTTTTTTTCTGTTAAGCTAAGTCCAGATAAGGATGGTTGTCAGATATCTTCATTTTTGCTCCGTAAATAAATGAACTTACACCAGTGCTACATAAAATAAATAGTCTTCATTTATTAGTCAAAACTCACTGAGAGGCGGCCGATCACTGATATCATTGCCAGACTCACATAAATGTTACAAAGATGTCCATTAGGCCTTTCACTAACTAAAATAATTCACTTAATGCATAAAATAAAAACCAATTTTCAGACAAAGGTCTTTTTTTAGTGATAAATTTTCTGAATGAGATTCAACCCCCAGATATATTGTCACCCAAATCAAACTCTTGATTTTTTTTAGATCCTGTTAGAGAATTGGATGTGAGTTGCTCCCTGGTACAAAAGAATGGCTTCTTTTTTAAAAGATGCTAACTTATAAACTAAATTCCTTCATTTGTCTGTGTTATCAGCCCCTTGATGTGTTGATGTCTTATTTAGTTTCAACTTTGAAAAACGGGCGAAAACCGCTCATGTGCGTAATTATTCTGATGGCAAGTTCTGCTTTTACCTCTTTAACTGAGAAGAATCTCCATTTCAAGATTAACAGCACATTCTGAAAAGACTATGGATTTAAAGATTCGTCCATAATACCTATTGGTAGCTAGTATATAAAAAACTGGAGTTAATGGAAAAAAAAGAGTAATAGTTTTACAAGAACATTTTGAATACTCTGAATTCGGGGATTATTTTTTAATGGATTAGTAGCTTATCATTTCTGCGGAGTATCTAACAGTTGTTCCCATTGTAAAATTTCATGAAAGGCCAAAAATTCCATTCGAAAGTTTAAAAAAGCACTTCTGAAGGGAGAAAAAAGCTTAAATCTTATAAACCAGAAGTTGATAGTCGTGATGATGTCACTAGGCCTTGTTCTCGACTGAATTTCGGGCAATCAGCGAACGCTCTCGCATGCTTAAGTCGTAACAGATCACTGAAAATATCGTTCCGAATAGGTGAAGATTTTAGCCGATTCGAAATTGGTTCCCTCCGCCCGTCATTTTGAGTCAAAAAATCTGAAAAAATTACTGACAGCTCAACTCTTTTAGTACTTTAGTCAAAAGAGAATGAGTTTTTTAAAAAAAATAGGCACCATTATGACGCATTCTTTGAACATATGAGAGGATGAAGCAATTCATTGATTACAGTTACATGGTATAGGAGACTTTTTTTTACAAACATTCAAGTGGACAGAGCCAAAAATTTAGAGCACTGCATAAGGTATGAAAAAGAACATAATTCAGCAGCAATTCTTCCACCTTTCATTAATTCCGATAATAGCAGCTTCCAAAATTAATATAATTTTAAGTAGGTGTTCTAGTTCTACGAATTGGGAAGATTAGATTTTCAGTCAACCTTCTGGAGATTAAGCATCCATTTATGCGAAAGAAAAGATAGTTACAGTATATCAAATACATACATTTTCAGTTTCTCCCTGAAGTTTACAACAACAGAGTCTTATACATACTACACTATACATACTCAGGATTAAAAAACAAAAATTATAATACTTGAGGGGAAATCAAGAAAAAATGCCTTGTTTCTTAAAGTAGAATCAATGGAGCAGCCAAGATTTTCCGAGAGGGGAAGGGGCTAATAGGTCACACAAAGACGTCTAAAGGTAAAGGATTTTCAAAACTCAAAGGAAATCCTTACTTTTTGGAAACACATGCAGCAAGCCTTTTCTGGGCTATATGCCTTTTCTTGATTATAAGCCCTCTAAGTTAAGCGTTTGAGATCAGGAGATACTGAAATACAAGGTACAGTACAATTTTACAAACTTTGTTATTGCTTGATAAACTAGAAGAACCACAGCTAAAAATGATACCATAAGGCAGCATGCACAGTTGATACTCGCAGCAGATTCTTTGCCTACAATACTTATACCCTCAATCGGGAGGAAAACAAAAAAAATGCGATTCAATAAAATATTTTCTCTTTGATTTCAGCTTATGGATTAGCGAAGACTAACATATCCATCCAAACACCAAATTTCTACATCCAATATTCACGGAGAAATCACGCATCCTATAACGTCATCCACCTCAGTTTGTTCCACCTTGATTTTGTCCTCGTTTCATGTCAAGCAATGAGAGCGAAGGTGGAAGATACCGTGATAAGTAATACCGCCCTAGATGATGTCACGTGCCTTGTTTTTCGATGAGTGATATCTCTATTGAGATTGGCAGTAGAAACTTGATGTTTGAATATATTATATTATTTTTTGCCAAAATATACGCTTAAACCATCTAAAACATGATTATGTGACTAGGGCAACTGATTCATTATTTCCTTTGTTCTGATTGGATGATGAGTTTTAGTAAAGAGGGGTAGCATCTTGTCCATAGGACAATTATTGACATGATCATCTCTTAGGATTTGGTCTACCCATTAAAACTAAATAATTATGAAACTTGAATAATTTGGACTACAAGCTTCAAGATCCAAACAACTGAAAGCACTAATCAAGGAGTGCTTGTTTCTACTGCAACAACAAAATAGAATAATACAATATGTACATATACGTACAAATATGCCCCCTTTGGTTTTTGTTGAGAAAAACCATTTTAAGTATACATATGGAGAATTCTAAACTTACGGGTAAATTCTATTTACAAATATGACAATAAATGACTCAATGCCCAATGCTGTGTGCTTTTTTATGACTTGATAGACCATGAAATATACGCAATAATAGAAGCACTCTTTTAATGATCTTAACTTCGGGCAAAACTAGGACGTATGAACTTCGTAAGTGAGATGAGTTACCAAAATAGTGATTAAGTTTCTCTTAGTTTCCGATTACATATTATTCGAATGCAATTATTGACTGAACAGGGAGACAGACTGGTCCTGGATTCTAACCTTCTGAATTTCTGATACAATATTTTTCTGATGCGATGATTGGCTGGACCAGTATAGAGACTGATCTTCGATTCTAACCTGCCTTGTATCCCAGTTTTCCGCTCCTTGAACTCCTGTTTTTTGCGGAGACTTGGCCTGAAACTGAACTTTTGTGTTCAATGATTCTAATCGCCTAAACCGGGACCAAATCTGGTGAACAAAATTCACTAAAACGTAGAACTTGTTGAGCTGGGCTTTTTCATTTTTCCTCGAAAAAAAAAAGAAATAGATGAAAAACGGCCGCTTCACAGGAAATGGTTGGAGGAGCATCTCATGAATGAATATCATGGCTCCTTATGTTAAAAAGGCGGAGGAAAAAATCAATTTCTACAATTCTTCCTGCAATTGCAATGAAACAATCGTACAATCTCATAACTCTTTTTGATTCCATACCCTGATCACAAATTTCATTTAAAGTACCTTCTTTTAAGACTGATCCTCTACTTTACCTCATCCTTTTTATGCATGAAAAGCAAACCAACATTCTTATAACATTCTTTTCCTGAGAAAACAACATAAACTTTATGGACTTAGACGCATCCATTTTTCACCACGATTTGCACTCCTGTCACTGAGACAAACTACTCAATTCTTGATGAAAGGATATTCTTGGAGGCTGCAACAAAATTGGAAAAGCTTGACAGAAATTAAACATACCTTCAAATTACATTGGAAAATTTTGTTGGAGGGTCAGGGTGAGAGGTAGACAGAAGAGTAATGGTTCATAAGGAAGATAACTTCCTCTAACTCAAGATTATTTCAATGTGTGAAATACGATTGGATAAGATTGATTTTATTCACAGACTTCCACTACCGAGGGGGATGCTGACTCAGGTATACTCAGTGTTTCTGACTCTGAAAAAAATAGAGAACAGGAGCATTAATAAAAACTGTTGAATCACTACTAAGCTACAGAGCAACTTCCAATGAGAAAATTTAAAATAAGTATTTATGATAAAGAGAAACACTAGCACTAGGTATATCTACAAGGTCAGGCTTTCAATTTTCTAACAAACAATAAAGAAAACTCTTTTAAAAACATCAGTTCAATTGATCACATTGAGGTAACTCATTAAAAAAAAATATAAAAGGTACTAAAAGTATGAACAGATATTTTCCAAGTAAGTAACCTACAAGAAATAGAAAGTTGATAAAGAGGGAATGAAAATTCAACACACCTATGAGAGAAACACTGTCTGGATCCTGAGGAGCGTCCCCGGCTAATTGTCATGGGGTATGTTTCTTTGAGTGCGATGTGAGCGTGGATCTTGAAACAAAGCCTTTTCCACAAACATCACATTTGTAGGGCCGCTCTCCAGTGTGGAGCCGCTTGTGGATTGCCATCGGTGAAAATTGCGTGAACGTCTGACCACAGATCTCACATCGATAAGGGCGTTCACCTGTATGACTCCTTTTATGACACCGCAACGCATCTCTTCTAGCGAAAGCTTTGCCACAAGTCTCACAAACAAAGCTCTTTTCACCTGTGTGCATGGTTGAATGGATCCGAAGATCCACTCGTGTGAGGAAACCTTTCCCGCACACTTCACACATGTATGGCTTTTCGCCGGTGTGGATCCGCATGTGTGTGTTTAAGTATGACTTGCTCACGAACATCTTGTTGCAAACATTGCATGGGAATTGTCGGTTGTCTGCTCCAGAGTGAACTTTGAGGTGTGATTTGCACAGACCTTTGGTGATGAAGCCTCTGCCGCAAATTTCGCACGAATATGGTTTGACACCAAGATGGCGATTCTGGTGATCAAGCAGACTTTGTTTCGATTTAAAATTTCGTCCACAGGTTGTGCATGGGAATGGCTTAACATCACTATGCACCCTCTGATGTACGATCAAATATGACTTGCACTGAAAACCCTTCCCACAGGTGCTGCATGAGTACTCAAAATTTCCTGTATGTTTTGCCTCATGTTGCGCTAAGCCGATTTTAGAACGGAATGTTTTCTCACACATGGTGCACTGGTATGGTTTTTCACCAGTATGCTTCCTCATGTGCTCCTGGAGCTTGAAGTTGCTACGATAGCGTTTGCCACAATGGGGACATGGTTTTGGCTCGCCTTTGCCGCCTTTCTTCTTGGAGGAGTTGGGAGCCTCAGCTTCTTTCGTTTCGTTCGGGTGGGCCTGCTCACAATGTAGGACTAGAGATTCATTATCAGCAAAGACTAGACCACAATTTGAACAACGGCACCAGTGCTGCTCATAGTGCTTTTGAAAAGATTCTTTGTTCTGGAATATTTTTCCGCAGATATCACAACCCAACCATGTACCTGCCTCAGCACCTTCAATTTTTGCTAGCGACTGCTCCACCATTTTTCCGACACTGAAAAAGTAGTTGACAGTTAATTAAAAGTGAGTTGGTTAAGAGGGCAAAGGGTGTAAAGAAGCTTTATCTGATTAATGGTGGCTGGTGAGAGTAGATGTGTAGAATTTTAAAGACGGAAAACGTAAATAGTTATTTCCTGTGATCAACAAGATTGTAGAAACACTGCTGCAATATTGCTGCACCTCTTTTTCCAAAACTTATATGGACCTTCATTAACATCACCACACAAGGGTTGATACTCAACTGTTGAGTGTTTTAAATGCAGTGGTACCATTCAGGCATTTCCGATAAAAAACTAAAATCATTATTTTCACTAATAATAATTAATTGGGATATCTTTATACACCAGAGTGATGGAAAAGAAAAAAATAGAATTAGAATTCTGAGACAGCAATTAGGTAAATGAATCTTATTATGAAAACTTCAAAATAGAGTATTTACTTTCAGAAATCACACTAAAAGATAAAACCATTGAAGTCATGTGGAATTATTCTGCATGTTTTCTTCAATAGAAAAAAACCAAGGATGTCTCCTGACTTATTAGCCAAAAACCGTGGAAAATAAAAACTGCAAACCTAACATATTTTACCGCATATTCCTGATAACAAGGCTTGTCAAATATAAAGGCATAATCCGCCAATATGCCACCTTATAAAACTATTCTGTTCATGAAGCTTCCATCGATATGAGAAAATCATTGAACCCAGGTGATGGAGCATTGGTCACTTACTTTTTGTTGCTGAAGCCATTTTACCTTAGTTTTTTCCATCACCTACCGATTTCTCAGAAACATACAATTTTTGCCGCTTAAAAAAGGAATTTTACGGAAAATTGGTAGAAACAATGACAGACAAAACCTGAAGATATTTTCCGCTTCAACAGCAAAAAAGAGTGCGCATTTTTCAAGGAGAACCTACGGTCAAAAATGTTTTCATACTTGGAGCGATTATACATGGTGGTATAGAGGCAGATAATGTCACCACACTCGTAAAAACCTTGTTGTCAAGATTAGCGGAGAAAATGGGTTAAGCTTGGGATGCTACGACCAAAAACAGCCCTCACTTTCCTCTATCATGCAACAATTTTCCTGAGAATCAAATTCTTCTTGGAAAAGCCTCTTTTATTCTTAAGGAAAATCTCAATTTGCAAGGAAATGGAAGAGTATTGGAGGAAAATTAAGGTTGAATTTCGACTTCAGCACTCAAAAATACCATAGAATCACCTATGAAATAACCAGAGTTCTTGGTGCAGACCTATGTATTCAACACAGTGAATGAAAAAGTATGATAAATTTGTAATTAGAGAAAACAAAACTAACTCGGTCTGCTTGTCAGTGCCTGGCATCATCTCTGACATCACTTCTGAGATATCACCGCTGATTTCCACGACTGTTTCGACTGATTGAAACTCTTCAGCGACTTCCACTTTAGGGTCTTCTACTTCCGTCCCAGTGTCTCCATCTCGATCGTCTCCGCTAACATCTCCCCTGCTGTCATCTTCTGCCATGTACATTCCATTGTCTACTTTGATGAATTGGTAGTTGTGACAGTCACTTGGGACGACCATCTCATTCCCTGCGGTCACTTCAACAGTTGACGTCACAATTACAGGATGAACCTCAATTACATCATTCGGATTAAAGTCTTCAACAAATGTTGTTGTGATGTCCGAGTCCTAGAACAAAAAAAATTAAAGTAATAAGAAAAGCTTAGATGTACCTACTTACTCAATAGAAGAACGAAATACAATGATTTGAATAAGAAGTTATCAACTATTTGATGCCGTTTAGAACTTTATTTAACAATAATGCATCTGAGACAAATTTAAGAATTGCTCTGCTGAAAGAGTCCTTTGGAAATCAATTAAAAAATTGAACCGAGCATCAAAAAATTGAAAATTGAGAAAGAAAGGAGAACGAGAAAACTTTGAGGTATTTATGTAAATATAATGAAAATTGTTTAATTGTTTTACAGAATTTCAATCTCTTTTTAAAAGTTTTTTTTTACACAGGCTATTTAATTGTTAAAAAAAAAACAATTGCGGATGAAACTACAAAAAAACATAACTCAATAACTGAGTTTCAAAATATTCACTCTTACTTCAACATTTTTAAAGAGGACCGAGAAACATTTTCTAAAGAAATTTTCAGAGATTATTCTCGCCAGAGCGAAGAAAAATGATGAGACGTTTAGTGAAATAACGATGATTGTCATTGTTCACACATATAAAATGTAAATATCTAGAAAATGTAAAATGTTATGAGCCAAGGTATGGGGTTCACAGTTTCACCATCAAGGTATTTTTAATAAACTTGGACCGATTAGTGAATAGTTAGGCACTTACAGTTACAGGGATCAGTTGATTTCCTGATGTCAAAGATGCTGGATCATTTCTCATGTCAGAAACAAGAATAGCTCCATCTACTTCTGACATGTCGAGGTATGGTTTCGACACTAGCTCAGTCAAGAGACTTTCTGTTTTAATACTTTTCTCCCGAAAGTCATACAGAAGATCCAGTTTATAGACGCATTCTTCACATACCAGTTTAGGTAACTTGTCATCATTAGAGATCTACAACAATCATATTTAGCATTGAGTAGCGCATTAAAAAATGAGTAATTTTTTGCATTTTCATCAAAAGAAGTAGATCATGTAATTACACAAATAAAATTAAATCTTCTTGACTAATGAAAGATGTAAACTACCTTCCACTTCTTGCATCTGGCTATTACACCAGCAGCTACGATCATACAAAGAGGGTGAGTGGGAACACATTTGATCAAAAATGAAAATGAAAAAAAATGTGAAAAATTCTTGACTGATGAAGAATGTAGACTACCATTTCTTTCAACTGGCTGTTGCACCGGTAGCTACAATTGTATAAGTAAGTAGGTATATATTTTCTCCAATATTTCACAAAAAGGACATCCAAATATTCCAAAACTTAGTCTCGTAAATGAGGCATTTCTACGATGGAGATCCATACCTAGGGTGTAAACTTGAGAAAAAGATGGAGGAAGTTTGCCAACACTGCTGCCTGCCAATATTAAAAAAGATGACTTTCAAATACTTTAAATTCATTAATTAATGGGCAAAGTGTGGCTTGAAATTTTGACCTCATGTATCTCATTTGAGCTTGGGTATTAAAAAGCGTTGCACATCAAAAATTGGAGAGCAAATTTTGAATCTCACATCAGATTTTTCACTAAGCCAAACTATTTGAATTTCCGATGTAAACGCCATGCTGCCTGACTTGCAGGCATCACAGTTTTCTTGTTAGACTTTTTTAAACTTGTACAAAGTAGCTAATCACTTTCAAAAGGGTCTTAGGATCCACTCCAAATAAGTTTGCACGTTTCTCTGCGACAGAAGATTGGCCATTTTAATTCATCCATTTGCTTTTCATGTAGGTAAAAGTGATGCCAGACAATCTTCGATCACAATCATGGAAGTGCATACTTATTTAGCGTGGACTGTGAAGTAGTCTGGCTCTGTGTCTTTACATCATAATTGTGGCAAAGGCACTACAATTGGATTCCAGGACTATTCTCATTGAGGACAATGCGTGACTTAAAATTTAGAGTGTTGTGTGGTCTTCGAAGGAGAGTGGTTAATTGTCATGGTGGCTTCAATGGTTGTAAGGAGCGTCTTAATCTCTGCGATTCCAAAGGAGTACGTATGTCTTACATGGTAGTAAAATTTGCTAGTTCAATGAAATAATCAATTGTAGGATGAAGCAGAGAAATAGCTCGACAACATACCTTGATGGGAAGACAGGCAAGGATTTTCTCGAATATTTGACGGACGGAGCCCTCCTTGTCAAATATATTAAAAGCAAGGACTAGACCTAATCTTGTGCCACAAGTCCTGCAGAGCTCATTCACATCTGCAATTTCAATAGTGTCACCCTCCTCCATCGTAAGATATGGTTGAAGCTTTAAAAATTAAAAAAAAAAATTTAACATCAATCTCCCGATTAGAGAGTTAAATTTACTTCAAATAATGAGGGGAAAATCATGAGGAGACACAGAAAACCTTATAAATTGCGTGAGAATAGGAAATAACATCACGGCATTAGAATGAATACGAATAAATGATCAAATCAAATAAATTAAAAACTACTAAAAGCTTTGAGAAAAAAAACTCGAATTTTCATTTGAGTGACAAGGGGAGGTTATGTTTGTGTTGTCATCGTTGGTTGCGGAGTTTTCGTTGGGCGTGGCATCTTGAAAAGGCGGGCGCGGGAGCTGTGAATCGCAACCAATCAATTTAAAGTCCTTCCTGGTTCGTTTAAATTATGCCGCGAAAGGTGCTTCGAGCGCTTTTCCAAGAAAAGTAAGGGAAAGCATGACACAATCAGATTTTTACAATTATTGTCAAAGAAACTTGGAGAAACTTGGACATATCAGCTGTGATCAATTAATGGCCCTCATTATTTTTGACACGAGGATTATATCACAATTTACAGCTTTTTCCGTCGGTTAGGTGGCCAGTTTCCGCTAAATCTAGTAAGTGAGATTGTTTTATTTCAATCTTAGAGAAACAACTACTCGTTTTTGATAGATGTCCGTGTTGAATCTGCAAAACTGAAGGCGCGATGGCTTGAGGCGTAAATTCGCATCACAATGCTCCGCTTAATGCTGCCAATTGCTCAGATTTGGGAGTCAAGTTTAAAAACGAGTCCCGATTACGTCTTTCCTATCCTCAGCTGTGTTACACATGTCACTCTTGAAGCACCGATACAAATAAGACAAATGGAGCCAAAACAATATGGAAATAAAGCGAGGGGAACAACGTGTGTTGATGACGGCGCAGAGATACAACTATTCGCACTCGATGGATGTCCGTGTTGCGTCTGCAAAATTGAAGGCGCGCTGGCGCGAGACGTGAGCTCGCAATGCTCCGCTCTATGCTGCTTGGCAGATTTGGCAGAGAAAAGTTAAAATAAACGAGGCCCGAATACGTCTCTCCTATCCTTGGATGTGTTTCTCACATATCCCTTAAAGAATCATTACAAATAACGTAAACGGAGCCAATACATCATGGAAGTTGAGCTGAGCAAGGAAAAGGATACGCGTTGCTAACGGCGCAGAGATACAACTAATCGTACTCGATGGATGTCCGTGTTGCGTCTGCAAAATTGAAGGCGCGATGGCGCGAGGTGTGAACTCGCAATTCTGCAGCCAATCACTCAGATTCGGGAGGAAAGTTGAAAAACGTGCGGAATATGTCCCTCCCATCTTCGTTTGCGTTGACACTCGAATATTATTTTTTTTTTCCAATGTCTGATTCTATCTTTACGATGTGTTTCTGGACTTATATCTAATGCTCGTGTAATGAGTTCAAGTTCCTGGGACGGAAACTCATTGCTCGATGGGCGGGATTGCGGAAAAATGGAAGGAGGGGAGGATGTTGGCATCCGCTACCGTCTTTAATGTAGCCATTAACCTGAATCATGGTATCGCACTTTTCATAATCCAAGCTCTCCCTTAACAGTGTTGTCGTTATGATAAAGGAACTAACTGTTTTAAGCTCGCTACGCGAGTTACCAATGAGCGCAATGAGATTCTCAAGGTCCTCAGGTTGCGACTGTTTCAACTCTCAAAATCCATGTTTGCCTGATCGTTTAAGTGAAAGTGAACGAAAGTCAAATTCTTAAGAGCTTTCTACTTGATAAGCGAGGAAACATATTTCACCTTTAGGTAGATTAGTTAGCAAAGTACATCCTAAGCATCGACCTACTCGCTTTTTGAGAGGGTTAACTTTGCAATACGTGCCTCGCAATCTCCCAGTGACATAACTGATAAAATGTCTCTTAAATAAGTGTGAAAAATGGCCACTTTTTACGAGGTTCAAAGCTTTACCGAAAGAAAATCGTAAACAGGGTTCAAATATTTTACGTAAGCAATTCGCGAATAAAGAAGTAAAAAACATTAGGAGAGTAAACTTACTTTTTTAAAGTTTTCTTGTAAAACATACTGTGTGATATTTCATATTTTTATCTATATTAATCATTTTTTTTATTTCACATCTTTATGTTACCAGGGTCTCGTCAAACTTCGATTATAAATTGAATAATGCTTCATTCAGCATGGTTGGCTGATGGTCAACATTCAGTAAAATGAATATGAGGAGAGACTCTCTTCTTTATTTACAGATCTAGTGAGGGATTTTTCTGCATCTTTTGAAACTTGGGTGCCTCGCTTCAGCATTAATTCCATTCTAAAAATTGTAAGTGCTGTGTTGAGAGTTTTAGGGAAATCGCCTCGACGTGGCTACTTCCCTCGTAAATTTGTCCTCTTGTATCTCATATGGACATTAAAATATTTGGGTCGCTAGAGATATAACGAAGATAAGTCTAAATACCTAAAGGAATATTAACTCTAACTCTAAATACACTCTTAGGGCGAAAGGTGTGCCTCCTCTACCTCTCCGCCTTCCACCTTTCGAAACTAACTTTACTCAGAGGAAAAATTAAGTAAAAAAAGAGAGGCGACAGAATGCCTATTCCGAAACTTTCGAATCTGCCCTTGACAGCCAGATTTTTCACAAGTTTTCCAGTATTTGCAGAATAACAACAGTAAGGCGCCTTCAAAATCAGAGGCTGCACAAGGAATTGGAAACTTTTGTATCCACCAATTTTGAAGGATGTTGACTATGCAAGTCGCAGAATGTCCCGTCTAGACTTCACCCCACTGGCTCTAGCCGTTGTTTGGTTATTCGATAATGTAATAAATTATTACTGGGGGGAGGGACAATTAGTCGTTACAACACGAATTAAATCCATCCTTAAGTATTCTGCTTTTTTTCCTAGTAAATTTTTCAAAATTTTAATGCGAAGCTCTCTTGGCCTAATTTTTTATTTGTTTCTATTTTATTTTGATTTTTTCTCATTCAACGTTTGCCTGGTTTAAAACATATTGTTTTCCAATTCATATTTTCCTCACCAGATTTACCTGATACAGAATTTGAAATATGCGAATTTGCATTGCCGAGAGCCTTCAATGCCATCCGACGCAACTGCTGTGACACTTTTATGCTTATTGCAGGTTCAAGTATTGAAGGCGCCTCTTAGTTTGGAAGGCATCACACTTTGACACTATATTGATTTCCCAACTTTTGCCTAACTTTCGGTAATTAATCGACTGGTCTGCGCTGCTCCAAAAAAATATCCACCATGTAAGATCTTCCTATGTTTGAAATCACACATAAAACTATGAAAGAATGTTTTGTAGATACCATTATTCGTGGAGAATAGAAAACCAATTTCCCAGCATTATCTTTCTTGATTTCTCGTCAATTTTAAGATAAAAAGTCTAAAACAATTGAATCGGTGAGAACGAAAACACACCAACTCGGAAAATGAAAATGCTCAAGACACACATAAAACTGCACAGAATATGAAGAAGCCAGTTTGAGAAAAAGAGTTTTGCTGCCGAAAGACAAGTACTTGTGGACACTTTAAATGTCCAAGTTGGAACAGATGCACTAACTTCAATAAATTTAATGTAAATTAACTGTCTTCAATGGAAGTTGAGCATGTTCGAGTTACCGAGTTGGTGTGTTTTCGTTCTCACTGATTCAATTGGATACATTTCAATTTTTAACTGAGGATTTTAACTTTCTTTTGAATGGATGGTCTCTATAAAGTAACTCATCAAAAGCAGAGACCACACATTACGCATTGTACTAGTATAATAAAAAATTAATTTATGTGACATTCTTGTCAAACTGCGGACGTCCATTTTTTTGACAAGAAAATTAAAAAGCTCCTCTGTTTGGACCGATTTATTGATGGGCCAAATAGTTTAAGCATTTCCATGGTCCTCGGTCAAAACACCTAATCGAACAAGTGATTTGAATCCGGACCTATACTATCTACGATTTTATTGCTCGTCCAGACAAAAATTATATTCTCGAATACCATAACTTATCTCAATGCACGCGAATAGTCCCTTTTGATGGAATTATAGCGACTAGATGGTAAAATCAGAAAAAGACGTTCGTGGTGTTGCTAACTTCCCATCACCTTTCTGCCCGAGTTAAAGACGACAGTATTTCAAATGGAGGAGCAAAATCGGTAAGCTCGACAAAAGCCATGCAGAGCTTGAGGCAGGAACTTTCTGGAAGAGTCGCCGGAGCTTTTGAGCGGCACGGTGCACCGTGGGATCCGGTCTTGGCGTGGGAGTGGGAACGGGAACAGACACAGGTCCGCGCCGACCTTTTTCGCCGCGCCGACACCGACCGCCCGGAGAAATGCACAAATGCATGTTTCGGTGTTGCACCCTCCCCCCCCCCGACCCTCGACCCCCTCCCCCTCACCGTTCCGTCTACGTGGTGGTCCCGACACACTCCCAACTTTCACGGTCTCACGAAGTAATCTCGCTGGTGTAATTTCTTGGTGCTTGATTGAAAGGGAAACCTCAAGTTACGAGGAGTTGAGTTGACTCAGCGGGTCATTTTACCGGATAGTTCTGGTACACTGATGGTAAAATTCACTCAGGAGATGGTGATACTGCCGTGCTAAGGATAAACGCCGTATGAACATTCGAGAGTTGCCAGAATTTCCCAAATAAAACATGTATTTTTGAAGAAAGTTGTGCGTATTTTTCCTTTAAATTTTTCGAGATGTAAGATTAAATTGGGAACAAAATTTTCTGAAAAATTGGAAGAAAATATTTAGAATTTTCCCAGTAAATTCGTTGGTTATTAAGGGAAATTTAGCAACGCGTGATGATGGCTCATACGGCGTTCTTCCTTAGCACGACAGATCAGTAAGATCAGTTTATTTTTATGGATAAGTGGTCATGCAGCAACTCGGGCCATTCACACCTCTGATGCGCTCAAAATGAAAGAACGAGGGACTCGTCGAAAATTGGACGGGCGCAATACGGAATTGCCGAATATTTACGTTTATGATGCATGTGAAAAATACTCTATTGAGTGAGAGGCTATAGAAAATCCATCTGTTAACGCAGCCCTGTCTAGAAGCCGATGCATTTTACTTGGAAGTGGAAAGAACAGAGTGAGCTCAGGGTATATGCTACTTGTTTTCGCTAATGGATTTGGTTCTCATCTCTGTCACGATAAAACTCAGTAATAGTTTACTTCATCGGCACAATAGACAACGCTGGAATTAAGTTACAAAGTATGAGAAACA